TCAATTATGCATCCACAAGATTGGTTAACAACAAAAAAAAATAATGGTTGTCCACATCGATTTTTAGGTGCATATAAATTAGAATATGATAATTCATGGACACGACAAGCAACAGATTTTGATGATGGATTAGATGATCCATTAGATGAATTAAAACAGAAAACTCATGATATACAACAAAATCGAAAAATGATTGAATTTCTAATTAAATCATAGAAAACAAAAAAAAATTTTTTTTTTTGTTGTTGTTGAAATCTATCGATTAAATATCTTCTAATAAAAAAATCTATCCGAAGAGGTCAATTTTATTTTATTAAAATTACTTTTCAATATATATATATATATATCTCAATCTATGTTTAATGAAGAAATAGAAAAGTCATTTAAACAAATGTATAATTTATTCATAAGAAAAATGAGGCCATCTGTTTGAACAATTTAAGATATAAGACATTATTTACAATGTCTCGAGAGAAATTGGCAAGTACCGGAAAGAGAAATAGCTATATAGAAGTATCAAAACAAACGTTTTTTTCTTGGTCTATTAACCTTTTCTCGGTCAGGCTTATATTCGTCTTTAACCGAAGAATAACAACTAGCTTGATTTGACCGATAGGCAAACATTCGTTTTCCTGTTCTTCATCTTTTCGTTCATCTAAATGAACTATTCAATTAAAACAATGACCAACGTTTTTCTTCTTTATTCTCTCGTCGACCCTATATATGTCCGTATATGGTAATCGTCGGTCAAAATATATATAGTAATAGAATAGTTGAAATCCGCGAGAGAGAGAGAGAGACAGAGAGGAAAAAAAAGAAAAGAAATATGTGAAGAGCAAAAAAAAAAAAAAGAAAAAACAGCGCGCGCGTTATTCGTCGATCAAGAGAAACACGAATAGGCAGCTGTTATAATTTTCATCTTAAAATTTTTGTTTTTTCACAAAATTTCCAACAATGTGTGACGATGATGTAGCAGCACTTGTTATTGATAATGGTAGTGGTATGTGTAAAGCTGGTTTTGCTGGTGATGATGCACCACGTGCAGTATTTCCATCAATTGTTGGTCGACCACGTCATCAAGGTGTTATGGTTGGTATGGGACAAAAAGATTCCTATGTTGGTGATGAAGCACAATCAAAACGTGGTATATTAACATTAAAATATCCAATTGAACATGGTATTGTTACAAATTGGGATGATATGGAAAAAATTTGGCATCATACTTTTTATAATGAACTTCGTGTTGCACCTGAAGAACATCCTGTACTTCTTACTGAAGCACCATTAAATCCAAAAGCAAATCGAGAAAAAATGACACAAATTATGTTTGAAACATTTAATACACCAGGTAATAAATAAATGAAAAAAATTTTTCTATATATATATATATTGATTTTGTTTGTATGTGTGTTTTTTAGCAATGTATGTTGCAATTCAAGCTGTACTTTCACTTTATGCAAGTGGTCGTACAACTGGTATTGTACTTGATTCAGGTGATGGTGTAACACATACAGTACCAATATATGAAGGTTATGCATTACCACATGCTATACTTCGTCTTGATTTAGCTGGAAGAGATTTAACTGATTATTTAATGAAAATCTTAACTGAACGTGGTTATTCATTTGTAACAACAGCTGAACGTGAAATTGTTCGTGATATAAAAGAAAAATTATGTTATGTTGCATTAGATTTTGAGCAAGAAATGGCAACAGCTGCATCATCATCATCATTAGAAAAAAGTTATGAATTACCTGATGGACAAGTTATTACAATTGGTAATGAACGATTTCGTTGTCCTGAAGCTTTATTTCAACCAAGTTTTCTTGGAATGGAAACTGCTGGTAAAAATATTTTTGTTGTTTTGTTGTTTTTGTCAATATATTATATTTGATTATTATTTTTCTCTTTTTAAAGGTATTCATGAAACAACATATAATTCAATAATGAAATGCGATATTGATATACGTAAAGACTTATATGCAAATACAGTTCTTTCTGGTGGTTCAACAATGTATCCAGGTATTGCTGATCGTATGCAAAAAGAAATAACATCATTAGCACCATCAACAATGAAAATTAAAATAATTGCACCACCTGAAAGAAAATATTCAGTATGGATTGGTGGTTCAATTTTAGCATCATTATCAACATTTCAACAAATGTGGATTTCAAAACAAGAATATGATGAATCAGGTCCATCAATTGTTCATCGTAAATGTTTTTAAAAGAAATTGTTTTTTTTTAAACAAACAAACAAAAAAAGAAAACAATTTTGACCCAATTACTTATTCTTATTCTTGTGCGCGCGCGTATGTATCTTCTGTGTATGTCTCGCGTTGTTCTTTAACATCATAAATTTTTTCTCTTTCAAAAAAAAATATATAATATATATTACAATAATGTTTTCTTTTTGTTTTAACCAGATTCTGTTGTGTGTAGCAAAAAAAAAAAGATTAAGGTTACATAAAATTAGTTCACAAAAAAAAAGAAAAAAAAAAGAAATCCCATTATGAAGTACGAAATGATCCAATAGCTGCTTGCATTAGTTCAATCTAAAATGAAAAACAACAAATGAACTATGAAAAATTACAAGATGTTGCTTCAAGAAAAAAAAATAAAAATAAATCAAGAAGTATTATTATAGATTGACAAATGAAAACTAATATAAACCTGCCCTCTCAAAAAATCTTCATAATTGAGTTTCTAGATAAGAAGTAATGTTAAATCCGGTCATCATGTTCATTACCGGAATTGGAAATACAATGGTTGAATTTTTCTCTGATGCAATTGTTGTTAATGTTTGTAAATAACGAAGTTGAAGAGCTGTTGGAGATTGCATGATCACATCTGCAGCATCTTTCAATGCTCTAATACATAAAAAGAAATCTTCATAAATTGAATATAAATCAAATAATATAATCGATACCTTGCTGCTTTTTGTTCACCTTCAGCAGCAATTACTTTAGCACGAGCTTCTCGTGCTGCTTCAGCTTCAGCTGCCATAGCTCTATAAACAAATACAAAAAAAAAAAAAAGAAAATTATCATACATTCAAATAATTCAATATTTATACCTTTGAAGTTGTACAGGTAATCGAACATCTTTACTAGAAATTTAAAAAAAAATTCAATAATAAAATTTAAACTAAAATAACTTACACTTCAACACGTTCAACACGAACTCCCCAACATTCTGTACCTTCATCTAAAGCAGCCTAAAAATAAAATAATTATTTTTTGAATTCAAGAACAAATATTCTTACCTGCATTGTTTGTGCAATTGATTCTCGATCCGAAAGAATCTCTTGTAATGATTTAGTACCAAGACTAATAATAATTATAAAATTTTGATTATAGAACTACATATATATTCTAGGGGTTCTACTGCGTAACCAACAGATGACACTACTTATCGACATCTAGTTGACATACTTCATACACTATTAGAATACGGTTAGTAGGCGCGCGCACACACACACGCTTAGAGGCTAACATGACCATACATTACTAGATAAAATACTTACACATTACGTAAACTAGTAGCAGCAAGTAATTGTGTACTTTTTGGTGCATCTTCAACATTGGTGATTGAAATAACTGGATCAAATACTCGAAAATACACAACAGCATCAACAGCAACCGTTACAGAATCTTTTGTTAAAATCTATATATATATATATATATATATATAAACAATAGAAATAATCTACATAAATAATTCTAAACAAACCTCTTGGGGTGGTACATCAAATGTCACTGTTCTTAAATCAACTTTTGTATAGGCATCAACACATGGGACTATAATAAACAGACCAGGTCCCTATATTATGTTAACAGATATGAGACCAAAGAAAAATCTCTAAAAAAAAAAGAGACATACCTTGGCACCACCAAGTATACGACCGAGTCGAAACATAACAGCACGTTCATATTCTTGAACAACCTATAGATTATAAATTATTTTATTTTATATAAATAAAAAAGAAAAACAATTTGTACTTTGAGACAAACAGTAAGTGAAAATGGAAAAGTTATAAATATAAGTACATAAGATAAAATAACTAATATATATCCACAAAGTCCAACATGATAATCTTCACGAGATGCTAAATGAAAACAAAAACCAGTTTTTCTTTTGTGTTTTAGAAAAATTATTTATATTCTAATAAAAAAACGATTATCATTACTTATTCTTGGCATTGATGGTCTAGGAGAATGTGGATATGATCCATATAATTCACGATTTCTATTATCTTCTCTCATTATTGTTGTCCTACCAGTATTCGTCATATTGTTATTGATATACTGCCAGCTATCATAGGCAAAAATGAGAATATATAGTTGCTCATATTTTGTCTGCTAGACTATCAGTTCTTTTTTCTTCGTCGAGTCAATAAGGTGTTTGTTTATTTGCTGTCGGAATTGATTTGAAAGATTCATGATGTTTCCCTCTATCTACTTTTTTTCTCCCTCGTATAGTTAACAAGGACAATTAGTTAACAGAATAAATGACAGATATTTATTTGTCAAATAAAAAAAAACGTTTAGGCTTTTTTTTTATTGATAAATTCCATATGATAATATTTCATTTCTTACTTGTTGGTCTCATGGCTCTTGTTTCAAACGATGATGTGTTCATAGAAATGAATGGTTGACGTGACAAATATACTTGCGAGTTGCACTCTTGCTTTACCATTCACGGTAAATGTATTTCCGTTGTCTTTCTTTTTTTTTTCTTTTTCTTCTTTTCTCTACTCGGTTTTTTTTTAGTCTTCGAATCATTAGAATGGTCTTCTCTCTTCTCTCTCTCTCTCTCTCTCTCTAGTCTATATATTACTCCCTTTTATAGTTCTATATACACACATGCCTCGTTCCAATTATGTAATTGGATGTCCCTTGATAGTCTATATATACAAGACATCTATGAAACAGTTCGTCATATCTAGTTGAAATCTGATCCATCTCCATTGAATGACATGTGAAAAATTGATCAATCTATCGTAGTTTATTACTCTAGAGAGATGATTTGAAAGTTCAATCTTTTTGATAATAATAATTTATTGACAGTAGATATCATCATCAATAATAACGAATAAAATGTTGATGATGTACCACCCATTACTCAACTATATTTAACGAAAAAGAAAAGAAAGAATAGCGGAAATATTCAATTTATAGAACGCATATATATTATTTGTTCAATTGATCATGTATATATATATATATATATACAAAGTGATTAAGTAAAAAAAATATATAGAATGTTAAAATTTACTTTTTCCTCACCTGCCCAATTATATAAAGCAGCTGTAAGTTTCTGTCGTGAAGATAGTCGCCGACGTGGCATTCCGTTCGATGAAAATACTTTATATTATATGCAATAGAAGAATAATAAAAGAATGCCGAATCTTGATCTGCTTATCGATTTGATTGGATCTCTTCGGTTAGTTCCATTTCTTTTTATCTCTAGTTCTTCTTTTTTTTTTCTTTTTTCTTCGAGCAAGTTAATTTAAATATGCTTGAGTAATCTATCGAGAGAAACAGAGATCACAGACGTGCTGATTTTGTCATTATTGTAGACATGATCAGAATTACAATGTTATTTAATGTCAAAAATAAACATAGAATAAGATCGTTTTTTTTTTTTGTCTCTGGACAATCTCGTTAATAATAGTCAAGGATTAAGCTAAATCTATATATGTTTTGCGGTTTTTTTTTCTTTCTCTATATATGAAATCAACATCTGTATTACATCCTAATTTATGGATACCTGTATGGTTTTTTTCGTGCGTATAATTGCCAGTTCTATGATTGTATGTTGTTATTGGAAAAGTTCGTACTGATGATGTTGTTAATCGTTGACGTCGTTCATCATCTAATTTCCAGTTATGATGTTGTTTGATGCCACTGTGCATGAATGAGTTTTGTTAGATTTTTTTTTTGCTATATTTTGGACATATAAATTGCTTTTTGTCTCTCTATTTATTATCCTTTTTTTTTCCTTAGCTGTATACAGATGCTAATACGCACTATTAACAGTAATTATTTATTATATACTATGGTATAATGATGATAGTAACGACGACTAAACTATTGTTGTTGTCCTATTATGTAGAAGAAAATCCAGTAAATAGATAGAAAAGAAAAGAAGAAAAGTATTGCATTTACAGTTGTTATAGAGAGAGAGAGACAATATTCTCTCTTAGAATTCGAATTAAGAAAGAAAGGGTGACTATCTTGCCGATCAAACAATAGAAGACATAGTTAGTCTCTTTCTCTGAAAAGATTTCCTGCAGCTTTCTTTTCCTTGTTTTATCACCATCTATACTCTCTTTCGCTCACACACACACACATTCTATCAAGATAGATAGAATGCACAAGCACATACGTTAATAATTCTATCTTCATCTTCCCTCTTATAGGACACTTTTTTTTGTTTTTTATATAAGATTGATATTAGTTTATCGGCATAGTTCTCAATGGTGACAGCGGCAACAGCGCTAAATCATTCAACATTGTTGTCGTCGTCATCGTCGTCATCATCATCATCATCATCTTTTCTAAAGAGGAAATTACATAAACGTTGCATTCTTCTCTGTATATATATATGTGTGTGTGTGTGTGTTATTAAAAAAAGAAGAAAACATGTATGGTGAATTCATCTTTGCTGTGTAATATGCAATCGATATATAATATATAATGGGTAAAACGGACACCATGCTGAATGACATTAAAGAGCTTTGTTCGAAAAGATTTGCAGATGGTTCACTGGTGTTCTTTTCTTTGACGTGGCAAGATCAACAATTGTTGTTGTATGTTATAAATTGTGATGTGTGTACAATGATATTAACAGGAGAGAAAAAAAAATGATTTATATCCTCATTAACATGCAACATCATATATCTGATACCGAATGGGCATATATCTGTTTGTAATCGATCAAATTGATTGTAGGATGTCGATTGATGGAATAGAACAAAAACAAAATAAAAAAATAATAAAATCGATTTCATATTTAAATTATTTTTTATTCATAGTGAGAAATCAATAAATATAGAGTATCTTTTTTGTTTTCTGAAATAAATTATTCTTAATTCGATTTCTAATCAAATGTCAATATATATATATATATCATTAAATTTGTTTATGTTCATCAGCCTTATGATCAAATTCATAATCAATATGAACAAAAGCACGTTCAATTTCAGATAATGATTCAAGTTTCATTTGTAAATTTGTACCAATATCATGTGCTTGTTGAATTTGCATATTACCTGGTAAACCAATATCAACTAATAATTCAATATAAAAATGAATTTATTTTTTTGAAAATATTAATTCGAATCTTACCTTCAACAAAAAGATCAGTACCAAAATGGAATGCTTTTACCATATCAATTTTTGTAAGATGTGGTGAAAAATTAATAGCTATCCAAGTTATTAATTTAAGAAAATCTGAATCAGCAGTTATACCAGTTAAATGACGAATATGTACTATGCAGAATTTAAATTTGTTTTTTTTTTGAAATTTTTGATGAATATTTTCGTATTTTACCAGTAGCTTGAAGAACCCAAGAAATAATAATATAAATTGAAATTAGTATTGCTCCAACTAGATTTAATGTTACAGGGAGAAAAAAAACGAATTTTAAATTGAATAATTTCAATTCTTACTTGGATCTATTACAATAAATCGTAGATTGATTTGTTTTGAAACTGCTTGACCAGCTATTTAAAAAAATTATTGTTTTTTTTTTCTAAATTTTTTATATTATATCTTACCAAAAAGACCAGAAAGAAGTGCTACACAATTAGATAAAACATCATTACGATGATCATATGCTAAGGCTTTAATTGTTTCGACTTGAACATGACGACAACAAAAGTATAGAATAATTTTGAGCACTATGTAAAAAAAATCATTAAGTTCAAACAAAACTATACTTTAAATGAATTCATATATTGAAGATTCAAGATGAACGTAAATGTCTCCTCTTAATTCTAAAATAGATATTGTTCAGTATTTTTAAATGCACTCTCGGTAAGACTAGAAAAAATCTAAAAGAGTTTGTCTCCATAGGCATTTTGATTTGAATTATGATCATTTGATTGAATTTTCAGATATTTATTGAAAAATGAAATAACTGAATTACGATCTGAAATATGTTTTTAAGCACAATTTTAATTGGATATATCTAACCTTACCAATCGTTATACACATAGCAATAATTGGAATAGGTTTTTTAATATTCATATTCACATCAGGGATTTCATTTGTATGATTTGTAATATATTGAATGTAAGTAAATAATCGTTTAATAGCTTCGGAAAGTACTTGTATTGATGCTGAACACATAATAACAGAGAGTATAATGATAGCAACTGGTTCAAGTCGTGTTCGTCCAGCTGGATATCTATATTGATTTCGATATCGTATAGCACGTGCTGTCCAAAATAGAATTATACTTGAAACAAGATCAACGGCTGAATCAATAACACTTGAAATAATTGATAATGAATTCGAGAGAATTGAAGCTATAATTTTAATAAAAAATAAACACTAAAATCAAGTAGACATTCTTTTCTTTTTAATTAATTTAATAAATTAATTACAATATTAATAATAAGTGAAATAATTGTAAGAATTTGAACATGTTTTTTAAGTTTAATTTTTTTTTTATCACTGATTTGTTCTTTATGATTAAGAACATTAGCATATTTATCAATAATAGCATTTTGACGTTCATAAAAACGTCTATATCGTATTCAAGGTAAACAAAAAAAAAATTTACAAAACAATTTTACTTGACTTGTTTTGAAAGAATTTTTTTATTCGATAAATCATATCGTAAAGAGAGAAAATGCTCTATTGAACCATAAATTAAAGTTGTATTCAATGATTCATCTAAGTGTTTATAAAACTAGACATTTTCTTTTTTCATTCAATTAAATCGTCGCTCACTTAAACAACTTGAATTAGTTGATTGTTTCGATAAGATCATCTTAGATTTAGACGAAGTCGTATAATTGATATTCAATGGAGTAGAATGAAGAGCAATACTTGACTGTTTATTGATTCTGATACTGTCATATGACATTATTGAAAAGAGCTTTTTTTTTTTATGAATCATTTCTATTTTAATCGATGATTCAGCTAAATAATTGTTTAATAAAATTTTTCTATTTTTGATGAAATCTATCAAACTATTTCATAATAAGTTTTTTTGTTGACATTGAAGATTTGATTTATTCTTTCAAAAGATTAACGAATTAGATATTGATAAACTTCAAAAAAAAAAGAAAGAAATATCTGACAGAAAATTACTTTTTTCTAATAAAACGTCATTTTAATCCGGCATTAATATTATGATTACATACTTAGCAATGATAAATATGATCTCTTAATGAAAATTTCTCACCGATGAGTACGGTAATTTGATCATCCTATATCAAGATATTATAGATAAATAACTTAGAAAAATTCAGAAAATAATTAACAATCTATTCAGGGACAAGGAACATTAGATATGAGTATAAATACGAATGTTTAGTAAACTCTTCTGATTGAACATGGAGCCTTACACGAGAGTAAGTCATAATTACTTTAACAATGTCCCATAATTCATGTAATTTTTCCTTCTTTTGAAGCTTATACTTTTTGTCTTTTTGTAAGATTTCAATAAATTCCAAATGTGAATGTCAACATTCAATTAATGCTTACCAGCGAGTTCATCTACCAATCCATTTCATGCTTTAAATCTTCATTTTTCACATGCCACTCTCATTCTCACGTGGTGTTGGGTGTAATTAAATTATATACCTCGAAGTTGAGATTTGTGGATACTGCAGCTAATTGTCGCTATTCTCCGTATAGTTAAAGGTGCCATGTATATAATAGTTGTCTAGACTGTTTTCAGTCTTGTACAAAATAGTGTGGGGATAGAGAAGAAATACACCCTCACTCACTTATGTTTGTCATTTTTTCAATGTTTAGATGTTTATGTATTTTCAATATCAAGGAAATTGTTTTCATGTTTGAATTATTTCTCATAAAAATTAAGAAAACTTTATTTCAATATTGAAAAATGGTTAAACGTAACAAACTATGGTTTTAACATAAGATAAATTGAGACATTGACATTAAATCGAATTTGCTGATTAGTCGATGTTAATAGCCATCAAATAAATCGAAGTATGTTGAATAGAAAGCTATAAAATAGTCACGAACAATAGCATGACTATAGCCATAGTTGAATTTCAGTCTTGATTTATTCATTAATTCGTTTAAGCTAATATCATACAAGTTCTATACTTTTATACTTTTAAGTATGTTTTGTAAACTATTAGAGTTTAAAAAATATTGTAGTAGTGTTTCTCGCTGTTTCGTGAGTACAATTTTAAAACAGGGTGGCTTTTTTTTACTGTTTTCCATTTGCTCTTTAAATTGCAGAACTTTGGTTCATGAAATG